TGATATTGGACTCCTAGAACTTATCTCTCCTAAGTCTACCACAGCTATGCTCTGATTGTTTGATGGTTCCCAGTGACAAGGCGATTCTGAGGTGAGCAGGGTGATGATGCTCACTGACGCCTTAAATCGTGTTAAGTTCATGCACCTTGGCACACACACATCGCTGATTAAGTGTGCGCTGCCTTTACCATTAAAGTAATTTTGTCCTTTTTTAAAATGTTCATCGCCGAGTGCAGCACAGAGATGTTTTAAGGGCTTTGGAGACGATTCCCCGCTCTCTGCCCTGCACCTCTGGCCTCTGCCTCCTTGGTGGGGTAACCAGGTTGTAAATCGTGTTTTTAAAAAGTAACTAAGTAATTAATTAATTTTGAAAATAAGTAATCCTTAAAGTAACGGGATTACATTTTTGGGGAAGTAATCAGTAATTAGTTACTGATTACTTTTTTCAAGTAACTTGACCAACACTGCTCACCAGCTGAGACACCAGCATGTATCAGCAGAATGCATTTCATGGGTAAAATCAGCTTGACAGTGGGAAAAATAAAAGACACAAGTGTTGTTTTATTTCAGTTTGGACATTAGCCTGCCCATAGTATCAATTCTGTATTTGTAAAACCTAAAGTTTTTCCCCCATTTTATCTGCAAGGAGATGTAAATAAATCACGAGTTCATCGAGGACTGTCTTACAAGTAAATAAAGAATGTCCATCTTTTATGTACAGGCTATGTCAACACTAATCTGCAGTCTAAACTTTTGTATCTAATTATAGGTTTGTTTATTTAATTTGTATCACTTGAATTTCTAACAGTGAAAACAAAAATGATGATTATCTCTGACCTGTAAGTTTGCATTTTGTACATTTATATACAATATAATAAAATCTCATACAATATAAACAATTTTAATATTGCATATTCTGTACATATCACCACCTCAAATTCTGACTACAGCCACACAATAACCTACATAAGCACTTGTTTTACTTTATGTATTATTTTCTCTGTTTAGAGTTAAGTTTGTTCTTTATTTGAGTCAGCTGTTTATTTAGTTGTGTGACGGGAACTTGCAAAGTAAGAATTTCATTGCTCTGCGTAACCACTTGTGTTTTGCGGTTTATATGACAATGAAATTCTTGAATCTTGAAATAATGTGAGGGTTGTCTCGTCAGCGGTGGGGAAACTGCTCATCACAATCAGCTCTGAGCATTATAGGAAATATTGCTCCGACTAGGGATGTACTGATACTGATACCGGTATCAGGTATCGGCCTCGATACCACATTTTCTAAAGTACTCGTACTCGTTAAAAGTCCCCCGATACCGAGGACCGACACCACGGTCTGAGACCTGTCGATGTTTGAGCGGCATGTAAGGGGTTAATCACAGGCGCCGATTTAAAATTAAATTTAGTTTTTTCATAATAATTTATTCTGTAATATGTTGCATACAACATGCTTTTCATTTTAAATAAATGTTCTTAATTCCAAATCAGTCCCTTGTTTTTTTGTTTTTTTTGTTAAATTATAGGACTAAAGCTGTTACCTGCAAATTTAAATCATGTTTTTATTAAGTACTCGGTATCGGTATCGGCGAGTACTGAAATGCAAGTACTCGTACTCGTACTCGTTTCAAAAAAGTGGTATCGGTGCATCCCTAGCTCCGACTATATGTATGTGACTGCTGCTGTTATGAAGATTATTATACAACAGAGAATTTCATTAGTTATTAAACTGAGAGCAGAAATGTTTGTCTTTACCCGAAGTGTCGCACATTTTCAGAGTGTACTCCTCCTCTCTGATCATCACCGTCATATAGTAAGTGTTCACCACCTGGAGGAGACAGAGGCTGAGGAATGAGAACAAGAGAGAGACAACAGGAAGGAAGTAAACCCGCCAAAAGGACTTGATTACAGATGTTCTTCATAATAAAACTGGATTTATTCCATTCACTCACACTGATTTATCAAAGCAGTTTGGGCGACCAAGGATCCTTATACAAAAAATCTTTTTCATCATAAGTGGTGTTTAACTTGTATGTTTTTCAACACAACACAACACAAATAGGGCCATTAAAAACACTCCTCTGTGTAATATTATGGGTTCATAAATAGTAATAGCTTCATCACAGTGCTGAAAGGGGGCGCTGACAGCTCTTCTATGCATAAAAACCCTGGAACAGCACAAGAGCTGCACACTGTGTTACAAGGAATAAAGTGAAATGAATGCTGCTGCACGTCTGCAGACTTTCCCCTCACCGTGGGCACGTATTCAGAGGGAAACTTGTTAACCGTGTAGGACATGAACAGGCAGGTTTTTCCCACTTCAAGGTCGCCCAACATCACGCACTTTATAGTGGACATCTGAGGAGGAGGATGGAAGATGATGAAGAAGCAAAAAATGAATGAACGGTAAATGTGAGGCAGGGGAACAGAGGGAGTCTCTGGAGTGTCATCTACAGCAGCTGAAAGATTTGAATTAGACACTTGTGCTTAAATAGACTTATTATATGTTTGATACTGTAACAGTTATGGTTACAGTAACAAACAATAAAAGTTGTCACTGTAAATTTGGAACTGATGTCAGTACAAACAGAACAAGACCTGACTGCAGACCAACACTCAAGAAAATATTGATGCTAAAAATGCTGATTTTAACTAATTTGATTACTTTTAATTACAGAGTAAAATCTTAAATGTAAATGAATCTGGTCAAATGTACTTGATTGGTTTATATTCAGTTTAGACCAAACACATTATTGCTTCATGTTTAAGAGGCTACGTATCTTCTTTCTTTCTTTTTTCTCCTTCAACAACAAGCACGAATTGATTTTGTGCATCCAGAAAGAGATTCAGATTAGTGTGTCATATTCTCTTGAGACGTCTCCCAATTTGGCACAACTTGAAAGTATTTAGAAATATAATATAAATATTGATATTGGACTCCTAGAACTTATCTCTCCTAAGTCTACCACAGCTATGCTCTGATTGTTTGATGGTTCCCAGTGACAAGGCGATTCTGAGGTGATGCTCACTGACGCCTTAAATCATGGTAAGTTCATGCACCTTGGCACACACACATCACTGGTTAAGTGTGTGCGCTGCCTTTACCATTAAAGTAATTTTGTCCTTTTTTAAAATGTTCATCGCCGAGTGCAGCACAGAGATGTTTTAAGGGCTTTGGAGACGATTCCCCGCTCTCTGCCCTGCACCTCTGGCCTCTGCCTCCTTGGTGGGGTAACCGTGGCAACAGAACACCTCAGACAATATAATAACCATTTTAATTTGATACAAAAGCAGTCAAATCTCACAATTAGCTTTGTTGTTGTTGCTGTTTTAATTCAGTGAAGACAGTTCATCATCTTCTTCTTTTGGCGGGTCCTTTTCAGAGTCACCACATCTGCCAACATCGCACCCTATCCCAGTATCCTCCTGTGTCACACCAAGGGTTAGGGTGACTAAGGGTTTCAGGGTTAAATATCATGAGGTGTAACTATGATACTTTAAACAGCAAAAATGCACTGGTTTAATGATGTAGGCGAACAGAGACAAGGACGTGTAACGATCAGTATCTCAAAAAGTGTTTTTTTATGTAAACGTCTGAGGATCATCGGTATTTTAAAGTTGATCTGACCTTTTGTTGCACTAAGATTCCACAGTCGACCGTAATCATGACTCAGGCGACAGGCCAACATTTTTCTAAATGTCATCGTCTTATCTAGGAAGTCAAACATTGTTGTTTATCAGGTGCATCCAGACACTCCTGTTCTGCAGACTGCAGCAAATGACTTTCATCACTGAGCTCATTTTAAAAATGAAACTATTTAACTTCAGCAAAATCTGATTTCAAGTTGGCCAGACAAACAACACCACTGAATACATAACCATATGTTATTTTAATTATATTTTGTTATTTATTGAAGTTTAAGAAGTGTATTCTCATGTTCATGCAATACAAAATAATTTAAATAATAATTTGAGTTAAAATGCACACATTACCATCATTTTTAAATCTCCAATGTCTTGGTTGCCACAGGTACCCTGAAGATATTTGAGTATTTACTGTCAGTAAATCACAGTTTATAATAACTGGCAGCTCCTACCTTTCCTGTTCACAGCCGATGGACCGCTAGGTCTTATTCCGGGAGCGGGTTTAGCGATCAGCTCTGAGTTTGATAATCCAGGGTTGAGGGCAAGTTCGGGTTTTCTGCTCCAGACTGAGAGTAAACGTCAACTCCAAGTTAGTCACCGGGGTAACAGACCCCGTGAACTAATCCTGCTCGCTGTCAGATTTTCTTCAAACTCTGTGTGTCTCTCTATCTCCTCCCTTCCTGCTGTACCTGAGCCAGCTGATTCATTTCCTCATTCACAGCCACTGCCAAAGCGCGAAGAAGAGCTGATTCATTTGCAAAGGGTTTTTTTTAAGGCACAGAACACACTGATCAATAATCAATCATTTGTCGTGTTGGATTTTGGAGATAATGTAAATATTTGAGTGAAGATGAGGCTGAAATAACTTTAAGACTCTAAAACTGATTTTGTTTATTTTGGAGTTTATTTAAGCAGCTGCAGACACTCTGTGTGCTCTGATTATTTTCAGGTACAGAGTCTGAACAGCAACACATTTCCACTGAAAATGCGTCTTTGAGAGTCCACTAAGAAAACACGAGGTGCCAAAATATAATTTCCAATGTTTCTGTGTTTCCCATGTGTAATAACTTTGCTTGTATTGGTAAACAGTCAGTAGCCAACAGGGTTTAAAGGCGTTATAAGTAAAATAAAGAAATAACTCGTCCTCTTGGCCTGATTTTTCTGATCGCGATCACTTTTTGACACTCCGCATCCACCCAAAGCGATCACCGGCTCCATATCGGCTCCTGGAGCCCAGAAGCCCAAAGTGACTTTAAACAATTACAATCAGCGCTATCTAAAAAAATGCTCCTTTGTCAGTCAGAGAAAGCGCCGCGTGGGTCCTGCACTGACCCTGGTCGCTGTACTAACCAGCATTATATAAAACCAACCGTGTATTTATGGAAGTATGGAGGACTAAATGTGCCAAACCAATTGAACACTTTTTTAAAGGCTAACTTTAATGAGCAAACTGATTCAGTTATTATTGCAGATAATTTAAAATATCTTCATTATCTCCTGTGTGAGTGATGACCTCAGTTTCCTGTTCTCATGTCTGTTTATGGTGTTTTTGTAATAAGGGAAGTTAATTAACCATATGTCTATTTGTCTCTCAGGACCAGTGCGGTCTTCTGCTACCGTAACTCTACTGCTCATCTTGGTTGTAAGGACTTTGGAGTTACTGTTGCTTCTCTATCAGCTCTAAAAAGTCTCGTAATTTTTACCCAGAGACCTGCTGCTTACTGGATATTTTCTCTCATTCAGACAATTTTATGTAAACCCCAAAGATGGTTGTGCAGGCATATCCCAACCACAACCATGAGTCACCTTTCTTCTGACGTCTGAACTTCAGAATGTCTTGCTTGTGTCTGCATGTCGAAGTTATTGAGTTGTGCTGATGAATGTTTGCACTTAAAGTAGCCGTGCAGGTGGACCTAACAAAGTGCCTGTTACTAATTGGAAAACAACTACTTTTGTTATTTAGTTAAGAAAAGTGTCACATCTTTAATTACGCTGCCCTTTGCTTTTGAAGTATTTAAAGCATCTTTCACTTTTTTAAAATAAAAGGAATAATTAGATATATTCATACAACTAAATATTCCTTCTGCTAAAGTTCTCAGACAAGCTAACTGTCCTCACATCTTTTGCTGTTAGCTGTGTCCCAAAACGTCGGCTGCATCCTCCGGAGGCCGCATTTGAAGGCAGATTACGTCACAGCCAGGCGACGAAGGCTGTCCCAATTCGTCGACTCCTTCAAATGCGTCCTTCATTTCCCAGAATTTGAAGGATGGGTCGGGTGTGTCCTTCGTGGCCCACCATATCCCAGAATTCATAGCGCGGCCCAGCCAAATTTCAGTTTCCAACAATGGCGGCCGCTACTAAGTTTTAAAATTACTCTTATTAATGTTTCTGGGCCACAAAATAAACTTTTAACATATTTTAAGGCGAGAAAGTAGCTGTGTAAATTACAAACATCTGCTTGGTTTATCAAGATATCGCATATTTGCAAAAGTGTGCCGACGTTTCCGGAGACGTCTGTTACCCACCAGCTTGATAGCAAGCCGAGGGGTTCAATGGTCACTCCAGCCGGCGAGAGCAGCGGACTCCCGCTCTTTCACTACTCAGGTTAAACATGATATAAGTCACTCAGATAACTTAAAAATTTAATTGTTTGCCTTTTTTCTGTGTTTTATTTGTTCCAGAGTAAATCGGTTTGGCTGAGATCAAAGTTATTAGATTATTAGATTAAATAAAACTTTATTAATCCCCCGGGTGGGTTCCTCCGGGATTTTTACACAGCTGAATAAACGTCAAACAGAAAACTGATTAAACAGAAGTGTGAGACGGTCGAGAATTTACGCCAGTGTCCTGTTATATTTTAGATAGCAAGGAGCAGACGGCCGAGTTTATTAAACTCCACCGAGACAGCAGTGACGCAAATCTGAAGGCTAGACCGTCCCATTTCACAGCCTGGCCTTCTCGGTCTTTGAAGGACCCGGCCCACGTAGACCGTGAAGGCCGGGTCCTCCGAAGGATGCAGCCGACGTTTTGGGACACAGCTGTTGTTTGTTTAAAAAAAACCAAACAAACAAACAACGGCAAAAGATTATACATTCAGATTATTAAGACTATTTAAAAAGAACAACTACAAATCCTCCGTCTAATTTTGAAACATTTATACTTTCATCCATGAAGAGGCAGTCTGATTTCAAATGAACAAATTAAAAAGATCCTGGCAATCACAGGGATAAAAAAAGCAGTTTTCTAATTTAAACAAATAAAGTCCAAGTGAAAAAAAACCATTCAAGTACTGGTTTTATTATTTCCAAACACCCACCACTTCCAACATTCATCTTTTAAAACATCTTTAATTCTTGCTTCGGCTCTCATGTTTCTCTCCTGCCATTAGAAGCTCGTTATCACTTCGCAATACTCGAACCAGCTGTTGGCACTCAACCGTCAAGTGTCAGTAAAAACGTCTAAAGAGAAAAGGAATTAAAATTCCAGAAACACCCAGTTAAAAAAAATCACCAGGAAACAATAAAGAAAAAAATCTATATAATACTTATAATCATCCATACATAATCAGAATAAACCATCATCAACCATAGAAAAGAAACAGAGGAGGGAAAGTGGAATTTCAGTTTGTTTGAGTGGGAAATGATTTCAGTTTAAAGGTTTCAAATGTGTTACTGACTCCTGATCAGTGTCAGAGAACTTTAATATCTCACCAGTTAAACCGCCTTAAACCATCCTCAGATCAGAGGTTTGTTGATTGTAGCTTTAACTAACTTTATGAAAGATGAATAAAAACAAGCAGCACCGACTCTTTCAGTCCAAGTTTGCTGTCAGAGCAGCAGATTTCAATAAATGACTGGGAAAATTCAGTCACTGAGGAGGGTTTTTTCCTAAAGGTCAGCGCAGCACTTCCTTATTTAAAGGTAGTAACATTAAAATGAAATATAAAAACTGTGACGCCGCTAGAAGATGAATGAAGGTAGAACTGATGTCTTTAAAAGACCCAACTTTAACTTCTCAAACACTGATCAGTCTGATTTTAGCCAATGAAATGACACACAGAATCCTTTAAACCAGCCTAATCCCCTTTAAGGCCTCCAGGAGGAGCCAACGAGCCACCGGAGAACCACCTCGGCTGGAGCAGCGAAGCAGGAGTGGACAAAACAAGAGGAGGTCACACGTGGGCCGTTTGTCTGTGTCGACTTTAACAGTTTAATAAGGTGGAAAACATTTAAGAAACTAAAAAAAAGGTGCGTCTCACAGTTTCCACACAGTGACTCGTTCTAAAGGGACATTTCACCCAATCTTTATCAATATCTCTACTAATGTTTACAGTTAAAGTTATTGTTAGGAGTTATATGTTGTGTGCAGTTGCATGCAAATTCTTGCAAAACATTCACGTTTCTGCGGTCAGGTGGTAACATTTGTCCTGTTACCAGATGGAACTTGAGAAATCTCAGACAATTCAAGACTTAAAGAGTCTGAATATTATTTTTGTTACTTTGGATGCATCCACACGAGAACATCGAGTTTCTAACTCGTCTCAGCTACAGATTGAGGCACTGTTAGCTACTGTGCACACCAATGCATGTGTTGTCCTGTAACGTGCAGCTTCTGCCCAGTTAGTAAATGTTTAGTCTCAGTTATTCTTTTTGACACGGATGAAGTCAAGTTAGTGAACTCGCACCTACAGCACGCAGAGGCTCCTAAACTGAGGGCTACTGGAGCTGCAGCGGTTAGCAGCGTTGCCTCACAGCAGGAAGGTTCGTGTTTGAATCCCCTGGTCGGTTTGCAGGCGTGACTTCACTCCAGCATGTTGGGTTAAACACTCATTCTTTCAGTGTTTGGAGGAAACAGCTAAGTTTTATTTTTTTACTGCCCAAAGGTGTCGGCTAGATGATACAAGAGTGCTGAAAATGTTTGTTGATGCTCTTCTTGTTGCTTTTTTGAAACCAGTGACTGAATAAAACAGCACTAATGTTGACTTTCTTATGATCAACACTTTTGATTACATTTAAATCTACAGTTTAAGCAGCGGTCGATGGGTTTATCTACTTTAGGATTCATCTGACCTTATGTTGGGATCAAACTACAGCTACTTGGAAAGATTTCCTGCTTTCTTCAAAAGGACTTTCTTGAATTGTATTGTGGATACATTAAGAGCAAACGAGCTCCTTTACCTCAAGTTTCACAGGATTTTTCGCCACAGGATGAGAATGTCAACAAAGGCTTTCTAGAAGCAAACACAGCCACTC